CATGCTCCTTGGTGCTGGCCGTGTGCCTGGTTGTGGGAGTGTCTTGTCCCTGGCTTCATGCCCCAGGTCCCTGGGCAGGCCCAGAGGCACTGGCATGGTGTGCCAGGTTGTGGGAGGGGGGTGCAGTCCCTGGCTCCAAGCCTTGGGTCCCCAGGTGGGCCCTGAGATGCTGGTGGTGTGAGTGGTTGTGGATAGGGTTCCAGTCTCTGGCTCCATGCCTTATGTCCCCTGGTGGGCCCCAAGGCACTGGTGGTGTGCCTAGGCCAGAACTAATTTTTTGTCCTTTGCTTACTTCTAAAATGGGGGAACTTCCTGTGGGAACAACTACTTGAGCTGTGTGGTTGAGCTAAATTGCTGCTTTGCTGCTTTTTCTCTAGGAAAAGCTTTTTGTGCAGCTCAGGGTTTAATGGTTGACCTTATAGGTACTTCCAGCTCTCCAGAGACCTGGTGCACCAGGGTTGTGTAGAAACTCTCATCTGGGCCTGAGTTTTTTCATCAAACTGCACCCCATGCAATTCTATATTCCTGACCAGTCTCCTCAGCTTTGTCCTGCACTGATTCGGGGATGAATTGGCAGTCCTTGCTGTGTTCCAGTGTTCCTCTGGTGGGCCCATCTCCCCCACCACCCAAGCTCCAAACACTTCCCATGGGTTGGGCCCTGCACCGGTCCATTGTGATGACTCACTGGCCCCTAAATGGCTCCCCTTTTTCAGCTGTTCTGGCTCCTCACTCCTGTGTGGGTCCATGGGAGCCCTGTTAATGGTCTTGCTGTCCTAGGGGCCACCAACGCCCTCTTCTCCCCTGCTGCCTACAAGTAACTCCATCTAAAGGGCACAGCTGTGCCCTCTGCCAGCTACTGCTCCATGTGCTCAGCAGCTCCAGCCTTAAAGCAGCTGCAGCCCAAAACACTCTGAGCAGTTTTTTCATTCTCTCATTGTGGTTTTTCCTGCCTTCATGAACTCCATAGGTCTCTCTTCCTCTTCCCCTGAGCTCCAGTGGTGCCAGCTTGACTGATGTTACATTTTTATATTTGTAAATTGGTTGGTTTGTGGGAGAGAATGATGCTGGGGACTGTCTATTCCACCATCTTGACCAAAACTCTGTAGTCACTTCTTTTAATTTTGGGAGTAGTCTTTGAAGAGAGAATCTCTTTCCTGTAGAAGCGTTCTATATTGACAGTTGTGTTGGGCATTTTAGGCTTGATTCTGGGTGAATGCATTAGTGCAGTCTCAGTGTGTCTTCTTCAGCTGTATACAGTCTTGGAGTTGTCTGTGGATGCCTTTGTGGCCTAGACAGTGAGGCCTTTGGCAATTACTTGGGGTGTGTGACACCAGACAGGGTTGTTGTGGTTGTAAGCCTGGCAGACATGTAGAGGCCTACTTTGGAGGATCAAAGCACTTGCCTGATCTGCTGTCATTTAGTGAGCAGGTGTATACTGGTTGCAGCAGGTCCTGGCAGCTCTGTAGAGGGCCAGCGGATCAGCTGTGGAGCCTATAGCAAGCCTTCTCTCCACTGACTCCAAGCTGATCCCTGTGGCAGGGCAGAGGCTGGCTGCTTTGTTCTGCTCTCTATGGTGCTATTCCCATTCTTCCATGCTTCACACAGATTTTGTCATTCTCCTGGTGCTCTGCAGTGTATTTCTTTAGTCATTCCAGTCAAAATATATTTTTTTGTTGTTTTGGTGTCTTTCTGGGAAGAGGGAATGGTGGGGAAGCTAGCACCAAATCTCTCTAGTCAGCTATCCTGCATTCTCCCTGCCTCACAAGTTATAACATTAAATCCTTCCAGCCCCTGGCTGTCCCCACTTGCTAAAGCTACCTATCCTGGAAAAGCTCCCACATTGCCCAGGAACAAACTCACAGACAAAACGTGAAACTTCAGCAGGGCTGGAGCGGCTACTGGTTTGTGCCTTCCCCGCTCCTTCCTCCCCACCATTCCACCCACTCCCCTCAGTCTTCCATGTGTTACTCTGCACACTGGAGGCTGACATCAGGGTGGAGAGTTCTATTTTGGATTACCAATCCCAGGCATAACATGTTGACTAACTAATCCAGCATTAAAACCACAGCAATCAGGAATAGAGCCCTTGAAAACTGAAACCTGAAGTACTGTAAAAAATAAATTATGCAAGTATCATTTTGTGAAAAAGTATATAAGATAATGAAACAGCAGGAAAAAAGATATAATCTCTTCCTTCAACAATAATAAAACAGCACATGGTCTAAAAGAGGAGAAAAATATCAAAACAAATAATTATTATCACTATGAGGAAAAGTGATAAAGTTTTCTTTTGGCTCCAGTGAAAGCCTTACACAGGTAAAATTTTGGTTGACTGTATATTGTGTAAAGATACTTTCTGAAGAGGAATGGGTAAAGGGTCATGAAAATCAACTACAATGTATATTGAGAAGTTAAAATAAATAAATAAATAAAGATACTTTCTGTACAATTCTTTTAATTTTCAAATTAAATTAATGAGGGGAAAAAAGAAGCCACTGAAACATTTTGAAGGAAGACGATGAGCTTGCCAGGTGGGTGGAAATTAGGGAGGCAGTGAAGCATTCTCAGCTGGTGGAAGAACTTGTACAAAGGCACAGGGAGGGGAAAGAGCTCCTTAGGCTGAAAGAACTAGTAGTAGTTCTACATGGTCAAAGCAAAGGATGCATAGATGAGTGGCAGAAGATGAGGCTGAATGCTTTTTTTTACAAGCTTACAGGCCTTTTTTGGTTGGCTGCCAAGAACAAGGCCCCATTTGAGATATCTCAGGAAAAAGGGCAGTCAATACAAGAATAAATGTAAGGTAGAACTAGCACTGGAAACCCAGGCAGCCCTAAAAACCAGTACCTACTTCTCATGGCATCCCTGCTTCTCTGCACTGTTCCCTCTCTGAGGAAACATGCTCTGTTTACATAGTTTCTGTGTCCTCGTAGCTTAGTTTGCATGTGGCCCTTATAAATGTCCCAGCCTCTGTCTGTTTCCTTTAATTTTCACATTTTGTTTCCAACTTCTAACTGGGAAATCTCAATCTTTCCTAGTTCAAATTACAAAGAAAGAGATAATTTCATAAACCTGGCTTATATTTCTTCATCTGGCCGTTTGTCCTAGGATTCTGGTTTGGGAATCCTCGCATCAGTTGTCAAAAAAGAGCACTAATAAATGTAGCCAGAGAAAAATCAGTCATGAGACCAGAGCACAGCTGTGGCTCCCTCTGCAATGACCTAGGATGTTTGAGTCATCACTGATCTTTGTAAAAGACATTCAGTTGTGTGTTGGTGACAGAAACCAGGATAAATAGCCAGAAGGAAATGAGAAAGTGGGAGCAGAAAATATAGTCTGAACTTCTCCAATATCTGGTAAGAATGGAAAGAGATAAGCTGATGTCGATAGCTACAGTGTACACTAGATTGAGAAAGGGATCCTATATGAGATGTGAATCAGCATAACAGACTGAAAAAACAGAGCTGGGATTAGAAAGAGGTTTAAGTTACATGAGGGAGAGGATGATCTTACACAGGAAGAAAGGAACAGCTACATCCCGAGTTTTACAGGGGTGTAGGCAGGAAAGAGAATTCTCACATGTGATAGCCTCAATTTTGTGAAATAGATGGCAACATCATCTTCTGTTGGATGTGTGGGGGAGAGAGAAGGATAGAAGTGAGGTATAGATAGTGAGAAGATATACTTTTGGTAAAAATGGGAAGGGGAAATAGTTTAACCATGCTGAGGCACCAGAGGAAGACAAGCACTATGAATCTCTAGTGTTCCTAATACTCAGGGAATGTAACATTCTCCAGCAATGTTCATCACTCTAGAAGTAGGAGTAGGGAGAGAAGTTTGTACAGAGCTGATCCAGAGGTTTGGTGTTTCCAATGGCAATATGTCACAAAGACCCAGAAGCAAGGAGATAAATGTGGAGACCAGAGTCTTGCACCTTCCTAAAGCTTCTGTTCCAAGCAAACTGGTCTTCTTACTTTCCTTCGAGTAGGACTTATACTTTCCTGACCCTGTCCATTTGCTATGATATTCTTTTAATTTGGCTTTTTCCATCACATTTCAACTGTATTATTTTAGCATCGTTTCAAATGCTATCTTCTCTATAAGGCAATCTTTAATTCTCTATTTTATCAAAATTAAACTTTCCCTCTAAATTGCTATCACATCTAGAATTTTTGCACTATTTACCAAGTCTTTCTTGAACTGCTGCCATCTATAAGCCACTAGTTTGTTAATCATGGGGTACAAAATAGTTGAAATTTATATTGAGTTCTTATCGCGCCTTACTATGTATAAGCACTTTACATAGACTACATATAATCCTATCAAACACTATATAAAGTAGGAACTATTTCTAGAACCATTTTGGAAATGAGGAAACAGAGGCAGAGAGAGTGTAAGCAACTCACCTAGCTAACATGCAGCAGTGGAAGGACTGGCTCTAGCAATCAGACCCCAGCATCTTCATCTCAACCAACATACTGCTGCCTCCCATAGGCTTTTTATTTCCTTATAATGTAGTTTGGGGGTTATACCTTCTACTAGATTTCAGACTCATGTAAGGAAGAGTTCCTGTCTTAAGTCAGTTTCTTTTAGTCTCTAGAAAGATGTACGGTATATAATAGTTTCTTAATAAACAGTTACACAATTAATTAATGGTTCAGAGCCTGGTCTCACTGAATTATTGGAATGGATTAAGAAAGAATTTTCCCAGGTAGTCTCACTGGAGAATTTACCTCCATTTGAAACTACTTCCAAAGGTGGTCTCTTTTAAAGGCAATTAAGGTGATTTGGCCCCCTCTAAAACCTGTAGGTCAGATAGCAAGGTGGTCTTTTTTTTTTTTTTTTTTTTTGCATTTAATAGTATCATATTTTTCTTTGAGTGCCCAAGCTTCCAGAAGGGAAATATATGACTGTATAACCTTAAAAATTATATATCCTAATGTCTGAACTTTATATGATCAAATTTAGAAACCTTGTTTTTGTTTTTGTTTTTATCTCCACAGCCCAGTGAGAGCCAAAGAGTCTTCAGGAAACCATATCTACCAGGCCAGCTGCCACCACCTCCCCTACCTTACAGGCCTTTACGGGTTCCACCAGGCTTTCCTCTTTTCCACAGCCTGAGACTTATTCCATCACCTCCCCTTCACCTTGTCCCAGGACGAGTTCCACCATATCCTCCTCCTCGCTTTGACCCAGTGCTCACTCCATATAAACCCCTTTCATTGAGACCTATTAGACAACATCGACCCTTTCCAGGTTATCTAATTCCACCTTTCCAACCAAGACCTTACCTTCCAGAACCTATTAGGGTGCCAAGACGCCAACCTCCCTTTATTTTTGCATATTATCCTATTTACCCTCCCTTCTTTAACCCTAAATCTCAGATAAACCCAACCACCACAGCTACAACCACATTCTCCAAAGAACTCACCACCACATTAGCAACCACCATCACTTCCACAGAACCCACCACCACAACAACCACCATCACTTCCACAGAACCCACCACCACAACCACCACCATCACTTCTACAGAACCTACCACCACAACCACCACCAGCACTTCCATAGAACCTACCACCACAACAACCACCAGCACTTCCACAGAACCCACAACCACAACCATCATCACTTCCACAGAACCCATCACCACAACCACAACCATCACTGCCACAGAACCCACCACCACAACCACCAGCACTTCCACAGAACCCACCAACACAACCACCACCAGAACTTCCACAGAACCCACAAACACAACCATCATCACTTCCACAGAACCCATCACCACAACAACCACCAGCACTTCCACAGAACCTACCACCACCACAACCACCAGCACTTCCACAGGACCCAGCACGACTACCACCAGAACTTCCACAGAACCCACCACCACAACAACCACTAGCACTTCCACAGAACCCACCACCACCACCGCCAGCATCACTTTCACAGAACCCACCACAGCAACAATCAACAGCACTTCCACAGAATCCGCCACCACAACAGAAACCACTGCCTCCTCAACAGTATCTACCTCTTCAACAACAGCGTCCACCACCCCCACATCAGCAGCAACCAACACTACAACATCTACTAAGGATACTACTGAAAGTATCACCAGCCCTCTCTCCACCATATTGCTCAGTGCCACTACTCAAGTTACAACCCCCAATCAAACTACATCAAGCAGCACAGCATTTAAGAATTTTTATCAGAAAATCCTTTCCATTTTTGGAAAGATTTTGAAGATGTGAGAAATGATATTTTCCAAACTGCTCTGAGCTCTTAGGAGAAATAAACTTCAATGATTTTGGAGGAACCAACCCTGATCTAACCATCATACACCAAACAAAGTATTCGGGCAATAGTATGCACCTATTGCTGTCATGATGACTACCACTCTAGCCTATGTCTTATCACCTACCAACAGCTACGTAAGGTTCCCAGAAGGAAACAGAGACTTTATAGGAAAAAAAAAAAAGTTAATAAAAGTTCTGTTTAAAGAGAGTGGGCAAGATTAAAAGAACCAATAAGGGATATTGAAGCATTCAGGGTCTAGCCACAGTGGAGCTGGTAATGAGCCTAGGCTTGATGGGGCGAAGGGAGCCTGAATGAGAGTTGGGACAGTAGAGAAAAGGCCACTCAACAGGAACTGTTCAGTGCAGGGATGTAACTAACAAATCTCCTCATCAGTTGTCATTATCATAATCTGACTTCTAAATCTCTACACATCTTAGACATTACAAGTAAACCAGCGCACACTAGTTGTCCTGCATAGAGCCATTAGTCTCTGCCCTGTAGTTCTCTCCTGCCTCTGCTGTTCCTGCTAGAAAAAACTGGACAGATTTATGCCAGCTCTAGTTTAATTCCCAATTTGAACTTCCTTTAGTAAATATATAATGGATGCTTTCTACCATGAAGCACTTTTCTAGACATGTGCAAACAAAGTCAACAGAAGCCAATAGTAAAAAAATACATTTCCTGCCATCAAAGAGCTATTCATCCTTTCCAGTTTGGGCAACTGTCTCCCCACATGCTCCCCACAAAATTTTTAATGAGAACAATGTTTGCTGTCTCTGCAATGAGCCTCATTTCAGCTGCCAGGCTAGCCTGGCAACCTGGGGGGACAACTTTTATAAGGAAATATACCTGCTTATTTCTCTTCTCTTCCCCATGAGTAAAATGAGTTTGTTGACTCACATCACTGTGATGGAGCCCCATTGGAGCATAGGGGCTCACTGGTTTTTGTGACATCCTCCATTGACTTCATCTCACATTCAGCACACCTTTTCCCTATTAACTTTTTGTTAACCTTCTACACCCCTCATCCCTGTTAAAAACAACTTCCACCCAAGACTCAGAGCCATCCCCATGATTCAGGCTTCTCTGAGCTACCCCTAACGTTGTGCAGGTTATATACAGTATGACTCTAGGAGGGGTACCTCCCACCAGCTCCACCATGCCCAGCTGGTCTGCCCAACTTTTCCCCACATTGTTGTTCCTCTTCATAATGTATCAGACACTTCAACCATGCCATTTGGAGTTCTTGTTCTATTAGAAAATAATTTCCCTAGATCCTGGGATTTCCCTTGAATACTGAACTGAATAAACCAGACTTCCCCAAAAGACAGAACACAAAGTCTTTTTGAATCATAGCTACCTATGATTCTGAAACTAAGTTATAAGCCTCCAGGAAGGCTTGAAATTTTTGCATACATATTCATTTTCATTTAAAGAAAATTAAATAAACACACATTCTTACTTTCCCAATTTCTCTTTGTACAGAGGAGTGTACCTGTTAGATACCACTGCCATCATAAAGCTCACAAGTCCTGGGAAAAATGGCCATGCCATCGAGTCATAGAAAGATGACTAAGAATGTCTTAACAATTTTGTCAGAAACTACATCAGGCCACTGTCAAATGTAGCATGCAAGTGTATATAGGTCTGTGTAGCCTGCATTTATGTGCACTTGGCTGGCAGGAGAGAGGACCCAAAGAGCAGTTGACCAAACATAAGACAAAATTAAGACTGTTCCAGAGAGGAGTCTCCTTAAAAGCTAGTGGGAACACGGAACAGAAAGGGTCGTTTGTAACATTCCCTGTATCTCTAGCATTCTGAGTTTATGAAATGAAGAAATTTCAGTGTAATGGGAAATCTCTAATTGTCTATTTTGATGATCACTCTTGACAATTCATGGTTAGAGGTAGTTGAGTCATTTTTAAAATGTAATACTTAAAGTTGAATCCGTTCCATTCTGTAATGCAGTGTATTTGAAATTTGAATGATGATGATAGATACCAGAATTTAAGGTGATTAATATTATGTCTATTTTTTCTTCATGTGCTTAGCACAATCTTCTCATTTTGGATAAAAGCAAGTATTTTCTAAAAATGCTAAAGAACTAACTCTGAATCTGGATTTAAATGTGCTTTTATTATTATGATATTTCTTGGTAGTTGTAACTTTCTCAAAAATTCTATCAGTTCAAATGTTCTTTTGATTCACTATGTATTCTCCTCTGCCACAGTCTAAATAATACCACTTCATGAAAAAATCATTCTGAGTCATTACTTTTATACTTTAATAACTAAAAAACTTTTATTATTGGACATATGCTTTAAAGAGTCCACGATAAGGGACCGTCTTTGTGCCTGCTCTCAGGGAACAGTGAAAAATGGAGTCACTGTCCCTGCTCCAGGGCCTGTTGGCTCTTATGACCTGCTTCTTAGTACACATTGAGATCAGTCACTTCACCTCCCCGTCTGATTTTAAATCCTCACCAATTACATCACATAGTTGCTTACATATATGAAGTTGCCCTTCTGTAAATCTAAGTAGACTTACCCACCAGAGGCTCTGATTTTAGTCTTCATGTTCTCAAAAAAGTTTTGGACTTTGCATTTTCATAATTTTGTATTTAACTTTTAAATTATTTGTGCCTAAATGATTTACAAGGTTCCACTAGTGATTGTCTGTTCCATTGGTGTCATTACAGATATTGAAGTAGGCCTTAACAATGTTTAACGACACCGTGAGACACTTCATAAAATAAAATGCCTAATGGTATCAAGATGTTACAATGAAAAATGATGTGATAACTGGTATGATTGTAAAATGTCTTCTCTTCAGTCTCATGAATTTTTAAAATATTTCTGAAGGTGGGAGTTGATAAAAAGTGGTAAAGGTATAGAATTAAACTCTCACACTTAGACAAATGGGGGCTAGCACCGCCTGTCCAGACATGCTGTTACAGGAATAACCCTTAGAAATAAGAAGCCCTGGAGAATTACCAACCAAGATGGCAAAATAGATGATTCCTGGCATCACTTCCCCCCAGAAAGAAAACAACTAGTAACAGGTGAAGCACAAAATTGCCATTCTGAATTCACCAGAATGTGGGAGGTGAGGGCGAGAGGCCGTCTGAGCCCATGAGAGTGATAAAAGCCACAACCGGTGGGGAAAAAGATCTCACTTCAGACTGCTCACCCCCTCCCCCAAGCCAGCATAGCAGTGCTTACAGAGAAGTTTCATCGAGCCTGCAGAAGTGAGAAAAGCTGTGGACAGTGAGAGGGAAAATCACTTTAGACCACTCGATCCCCTCCCCCGAGTCAGCATAGCAGCTGCTCACAGAGGAGAACCTCTGAGCCTGCAGAAGTAAGAAAAGCCACGACGAGTGGGGGAAAAAATCACTACAGTCTACTCCATCCTGTCTCTATAGCCAGCATAGTGCCACACAGGAAGAAGTTCACTTGACCACGGTTTTTGAGATGAAAAGAGGGAATCTGAGGTCCCACCCAGTGCCTGTTCCATGGGAAACAGCTAAGTGTCAGGAGGGCTGAACCATCAGGGGTGCACTGAGGCACAATCTAGGCAGGTGCTCTGCTTTTCCATCAGTATGTATGCCACACAGAGGAGACTGGCCAGTGCCATTGTGGTGCAGGAGGCACAACCACCATGAAACACTCAGTCCCAGGGTTGGTTTTCCACATACTTGAGGTGCACTTGTGAAGTCTTTCCTTGACCCAGAAGTGAGTAAAAGGACAACAACAATTAAATTCTGGTGCTTACAATAAGCCTTTTCCAGATGGGGAAACAAAAACAAAGCAGAAATTTTGTTCTGGCCTAGTGTTCAAGTGTCAGTCCTCATAGTAAGTCTTTCCCAGGCTGGGAAACAGTGGCAGGACAAGTTAGTTCCAGTGCAGTATTTAACTAGTGGTATTCACTATAAATACCAGCACAAGAAATAACTGCAGGACAGAGGTAAAGTTTTGATATTAAAAAGTAAAGGCCTAACACCACCAAAGAGCACCTGAAAAAGCTGGAAGAGGAGGCTATCTCCTCAAATGCATAGAAATCAATGTAAAGACACAAGGATTATAAAATAAGAGAGAAATATGACACCACAAAGAGAAACCAACAAATATCCAGGAATGAACCCAGAGGAATGACAGATTTAAGAAATGTCTGATAGAAAATTAAGAATAATCCTCTTAGAGAAGTTCAAGTAGTCACAAGAAAATACAGATAAAACATCAAATATTTGCAAAACAATCCAGGAACAGAATGAAAAACTAGACAAAGAAATAGAATCGATTTTTTAAAAATAGAAATTCTAGAAATAAAGGATATGTTATCTGAACTGAAAAACTCAATAGAAAATTCCAACAGCAGACTTGATCCAACAGAGAAAAGAATCAGTGAGCTCAAAGACAGAACATACAAAATTACCCAGAGGAGCAAAAAGAAAAAAGAATAAGAAAAAAATGAAACACCTGCAATATCTATGGAACAACATCAAGCAAAATTACCTGTGCATAATTGGAGTACCCAAAGGAGACAAAAGTGGAAAAGACCTAGAAAGCATGTGTAAGAAAATAATGATGAAATATTTCCCAGTTGTTAAGAAAGATGACAGTCTCCACCTACAGGAAGCTCATAGGTCACCAAACAAATTCAAACCAAAGAGGAATTCCGCAAGGTCTGCTATAATCAAATTGTCAAAAACCAAAGATAAAGAAAGAATGTTGAAAGCAGCAAGAGAAAAGAAAAAAATGACATTCAACAGAGCCCCAGCTTGGCTTTCAGTAGAATTCTCAGCAGAAATGCTGCAGGCCAGAAGAAAATGGGATAATATGTTCAAAGCACTGACGTAAAAAGACTGTCAAACGAGAATTCTGTATCCTGCAAAACTAACCTTCAGATATGAAGGAGAAATAAAGACTTTTTAGACAAAGAAAAAAAAAAACTAAGG